ATTCATTTCTTTTGCTCACTTTTTAATAGGGGTGCTTGTTTTTTTCCTTTTGGCATGTGTGTAGATCCTGGATGTTGGGCTTTTGTCAGATATACAGTTGGCAAATATTTTTTCCCATTCCGTGGGCTGTCTCCTTGCTGTCTTGATGGTTTATTTTGCTTTGCAGAAGCTTTTCAGTTTGATGAGGTCTCAATTGTCTATCTTATCTCTTATGTCATGGGCTTTTGGGATTTTGATTAGAAATTGGTTGCCTATTCCAACTTCTGTAAGGGTGTCTTCTGCATTTTCTAAGATTCTTATAGTTTGAGGTTTTACATTTAGGTCTTTGATCCATTTGGAGTCTATTTTTGTGTATGGTGATAGGTAGGGGTCTTGTTTCAGTCTTCTGCATGAGGCCAGTTTTCCCAGTACCATTTACTGAGTAAGTTCTCCTCTCCATTGCTTCTGGAATTTTTATCCTGAGAGAACTGGTGTGAAATTATCCACTTGTGGTATCATGTCAGTACTCAAAAAGTTTTGGATTTTGGAGCATTTTGAATTTTAAATTTTCAGATTAGGGGAGCCCAATCTACACTTCACTGGCTTTCTGTACAATTTAAAATAAAGTTCACAATCTTTAGCTGATTACCCATATTGTATTATGTTCTTTTGGTTGCAAGTCACAAAAGTGGACTCTCATTGGTTTCAGGATAAAGATACAGTTGACTATCAAGGAAAAGTTGAGCGACCAAGATTTAGGAAGAGGAAGAAACTAAGTCTTTCCCCAAGATTCTCAGCAACAGCTAATGGACTTGTCTTCCTTTTGTGCTAACGTTAATGTGATTAGTCTTGTCTCTCTGCTTTCAAATATTTCAAATTAGCAACAGAAAGAATGTGATTGGCCTGGCCTCTGTCATATTTTTACCCTTGGGTCCACCTTTTATCTACCATTGAATCTATTTCTATGGAGGTTTGTCTTCTTTATTACTGTATAACATGGTCCTGAGGTATTCATTAAATATTGAATTAATAACCACTTAACTGAATAAATGATTGGACTACAGCCCCAAAACAGTGTCAATTAATGCCAACTGGGCCATGAACCATGAGGTTTGGGGTTCATTTCATGGTGGTGAAGGAGACATCTATTCAAGAGAAAACCTAAACATGAGTTTTTCAGCCTCATTTTGCTTTACTCCCCCCTCACTGCAGGGCCTCTGGCCTTCTTTCATTCCTCCAGACTGCCAAGCTCTTTCCAAACTCAAAGTCTTTGGATATGCTATCTACTATACCTGATGTATTCTTCCGCACTGTGCCACATTATAAATTTGCTGACTCTCACCTCCAATTTATCCTTTACCTGTTTTGTTCACATATATCTGGGCCCTTTAAACATGAATCTGTATGTATTTTGTCAGCTGATACAATAATAAGCTTTGGCAGTATATGAAACCAGAGGAGATATCACAGTAGGCAAAAGTTCTCCTTTCCTAATTTTGGTGTTCTTTCTTGGTAGGCTCATGAAGTAAGAATAGCTCGCTGGCACCAGGTTCCTGGCACAGATGCGGCTTTTCTGACACCTGACTTCATAAAACAGGGCAACAAGCACCATCTTCTTGTACCTACTCTGGGCAATTTTGTAGCAGATTGCCTCCTATGAGATATTTCCCCATGAATAGTTTTCCCTGGCACCATAGAGGACAGATTTTTTAAATTTTTATTTTTGGTAAGTTTCAGAAGATGGAGTTTCAGCAAGTTCCACTGCTGTGGACCACAGTGACTTCTCTGTCATACAGTTACCCATGGTTGTGAGCTCTCCAACAAGGTCTGGACCTTTGTGCTGGGGTAATGGCTGTTCCTTGTACCTGCTGTTCTTCTGTTATTTACAGGTTATTACTTCCTACTAGCCAATTAACTGTAATTCCAGTCCCCTGTTATAGTTAATTCTTTTTATTAAACTTTCTCTTTTCCGATTACCATGTGGTCTCACTCTCATGATTGGATCCAGAATAATACTCTCCACTCTTCACCTGGCTAATTTTATTCATCATTTAGGTGTCAGTATCATTTCCTCAGAGATTCCTTCTCTAATCCATCAAATCAAATCAAACCCCTTTACCTTTCCTTCCATAATTTTAAAATTATGTATTCACTTGGGTGATTATTGTAGCTCTATCTCCCCCTACTAGATGATAAGCTCCAAGAGGGCAGGGATCATGTTTATTCTCTTCACTGCTATAATACCAGCGCCTATCATAATGCCTAACCCATTACATTAAAAAGGGAGCAAATATTTAATGAGTTCTTGCTATATGCCAGTTACTGTCGGCAGCTAAAAATAAATAAATATATAGGCCAGGCGAAGTGGCTCACACCTGTAATCCCAGCACTTTGGGAATGGGAGGTGAGAGGATTGCCTGAGCCCAGGGGTTTGAGACCAGCAAGATCTTGGCTCTACGACACACCAAAAAAAAAAAAAAATTGGCCAGGCATGGTGGCATGACCCTGTGGTTCCAGCAATTAGGAATGCTGAGGGGGAAGGATCACCTGAGCCCAGCAGGTCAAGGCTGTGAGCATGCCAGTACACTCCAGACTGTGTACAGAGTGAGACTCTTATTAAAAAAATTAAAATAAATAAAACTCAGTTTCTATTCACAAAGAGAGTTGGCAAATTTATATGACAGTTAAAGGAAGGTTCTAAATGTACAAATTATAAGTACTGGCCATTCAAGGACAATCAGGAATATTATTTTTAAAAAAGACTTTACATTTCTTATAAACATCCCTAAGAATTAATTTATTCTTAACTAATTGGATTTTATTAATTTTATATTAATGGGGAGGGAAACAGTACAAACAAGATTGATTTTTTTTGTTTTAGAAGATATTTTTGGTAGATTGATAGTTATTAATTTCTCTGAGATGTTTAGAAAACTCTACCATTGTATTTCTCATTTGTTCCATTCATGTGTGTTTTCTAAAGTAAAAATAACTATACATTGGAGAAAAATTAGACTTATTTCTATGAACCCCTTACAGGGGTTCTCTGGCTTTAAGCACTTCATTTAGTGTTGCACTTCATTTAGTAATTATCGGTAAGGGCTGGCTGTTATATGTTTATTTCTATGGTGAGATAACCTACTATAGGTACTTACTTGGGTATGATCTTGGACAAATCATAGCATTATGTATTCTAAGTTTTTTTTTTCTTTTTCTTCTTCTTTTTTTTGAGTTGGAGTCTCACTCTGTCACCCAGATTGGAGTGCAGTGGCCACTCCCGGCCAACGCAGCCTCGACCTGCTGGGCTCCAGCGATACTGCTGCCTCAGTCTTCCAAGTAGCTGGAACTACAGGTGCGCGCTACCACGCGCAGCTAATTTTTTGATTTATTGTAGAGATGAGGTCTCACCAAGTTGCCCAGGTGGGTCTCGAACCCGCGGGCTCAGGCAGTCCACTCACTTCAGCCTCCCAAAGCGCGGGATTACAGGCTGAGCCACAAGTTTTTGAGGGGTTAATAATCACATTTTCTTCATCTGGAAATGAGGGGCTGCACTCACTCTAATATCCTTTGCAATTATTTCTCTGAAAATAAGCATACACCAGAGTATCAGTTGAGCATTAATTTCCAGTATTAACTATGTTTCTTGCTGAAAGTCCATGGTTATTTAATGCATAGTTGGAACGGTAAATTTTATTTAGGTCCATACTTACTGTGGTTTGGCATTTTGAGCTGCTAAATGCCTATTAGAGTTTTGATTCTTTAGCCCATGCTGATCATGTAATGCAACATTCCTAGTCTTTAGATGACTGATTATAAGAGAACAATATACTGACAAGATAACATTGATTTTTTTTTGATTAACTGAACAGATATTTTCTGAGTACTTATGTACCAATCACTGCATGAGAAACTAAGAACCAGAATTGATACATTCCTGTTCTCTACATTTAAGGTGAATTGACAGAGAAAGAAACTAGTATTATATAGAAAGTCATTGTGGTCAACCACTTACAAAGCAATACAATATTCCTCTATTTTTGTTATCTTCTATTAAATTAAAAATACTTTTCATAAGAAGTAAGATAGGACAAAGATTACTCAAGATATACTCTATCAGACTGAAAAACGAATACACAGAGTAAAAATTTGTTTAATCAGAGGCAAGAAAACAGACAAGGAATGCAAAGTGGGTTAGTCTTGTCCACTGAGTGCTCTGAAACTTCCAGTCGGGAGGATATACCTCTTGCACAATTAGCGACGTGAGTAAAGGTCTTGGGATGTACGGCATGGAAACAGTTTTGTGGCCACAAAGTTTAGTACCACCGGGCGCTGGATGGTTAAAGTAATTTACACGTGAGCGTGGCTAGAGATAAAACAAACCTGACCGCTAGAATTCAGATTTAGAAAAGCGATATTCAACCACATAGACTGGCAACTCCGCTAGTGTTTGGAGCTCCCCACCCAGGCGTACAACAACTTCTTGAAGACAGGGATGTCCTACGGGGGAGCCGGCAGGTTTACTTTTCTAACGGAGGTTATAATTACTTTTTTAACAACTTCCTTACTTCTAGGCCTAAGCCGATAGTCCTCTTTCCAGACTTTCCCGTCTGCCCTCCAAACACCGGCTCAAGGGCTGGATAGCGGCTCGCGAGGGCGGACTCAAGCCTTGTCCAGGCAGCCAGACGTTGCCGGGTTCTCCGAGAACCCGGCTGAGAGAGCTGACTTCCCATTGGATCAGCCAGGGGGCATACCTGGCTCTCGATTGGCTTAGAGAAGGGGGCGAGAGAGAGGCGTGCCTCTACGTTACACCCGCCCCTGCTGTCTCCTTGCTGCTCAGGATCTTGGGAGTTGGAGGGAAGTCCGGGTGGACGAAAATAACCCGGAACGACCTTTTCCGGCTTCGGTCTGCCCTCTTCCGGAGCTAATGTGTCCTCCCACCAACCAGGCGAGCTCCGCCCCGCACCCCGCCCGCGCCGGGATATCAGGTGATCGCCGGTCGGCACGGTCACGTGGCCGGGGCGCGCCAGCCGGTTGTGGCCATGGCGGCCGCGGGCTCCGGTGTGGTGAGGCGAGTAGAAGAGCTCGGGGACTTGGCGCAGGCCCACATACAGCAACTTAGCGAAGCTGCAGGGGAAGACGGTGAGCGCGCGGAGGAGAGGGAGGCGGGTGGGGCGGACGGAGGTTCAGTACTGGCACTCGATGGCAGTAAGGGCTGAAGGCTGCGGCCTGTGGTCAGTTGGGGTCCCGGGCCGTAGCTCTACGAGGTCTTGAGCTTCTGACCCCCCCTGCGCCGTTGATTGCCCATTCCCCAGAACTACGTTGCCAAAGCTTTGGCTTCACAAACAGTATTTTCAGAACCCGTGAAAGTCTGCTCTGTTTCCTTCTCAGCCAGGTCTCCGTTGTCTGTTTTAAGCATCTCGGTAACAACTGGGAGAAGGGAAGAGTCTGAATAAAAGTACATATGAAAGTTTAAATAAGTTGTTAAACTGATAGTACTCAAATTAATAATGGTTGTTTCGCATCCAGTAAAGGTAGATACGCGTGCATAACAGATCCGCTTTTTCATTGCTGCGTTGTAAATTTCTGAATTATGTTTTGAACTCAAAAAACTGTACACCGTATTCCACAGAAGAGCTACACATTGGTGTGATTTCCGCTGTTCTTTCACATACATCTCCGTTCTCATAACGACTCGGAGAGTACTAGAATATTTATTTTGGAAAGGTCTGAGCTGCTTCCTTAAGAAAAAAGGACTTAGGGAGCTACCTCTATTTTCTGGTTTTAAGTCCAGTTCTCTTTTCATTACTTCTCAGCTGCCTATAGTTGACACAACTCTCCCTTTTGGGTTTTGAGCCATAACTACAGATAGGTTTTAAAGTTCTTGTGAACTGACTCATTGTCATCAGACTAATAGGAAAATAGTAGTGGAACATTTTCTCAAGTGGTTGAATAGTTGGTGAGTTTATTAAATAGGGTCTGCGATGAAATGCCTTAGTTTCACTGAAGATTCTTTGCTGGAATTTTTTTTCTCAGGAGTGTGTTCTTTAAAGACCCACAGATCACTCAGAAGACGACCTCTTTTTTTGGTTTGTGATAAGTGAATTTCGGAATTCACATGAATAGTTCTTGGATGGTAGTAGCTATTACTTGGAAGTATATCCAGTTTACCTGTAATTCCAGCCCCATTTGAACTAGCTTAAAGAGATCAAAGAATATTCTTTTATTTTTGTTTTTTGAGTTGGAGTTTCACTCTGACGCCCAGACTGGAGTGCAGTGGCTGCTCCCGGCCACCGCAGCCTCGACCTGCTGGGCTCCAGCGATCCTTCCGCCTCAGCCTTCCGAGTAGCGGGAATTACAGGCACGCACTACCATGCCCGGCTGATTTTTTTTTTTTATTTATTGTAGAGATGAGGTCTCACCAAGTTGCCCAGGCGGGTCTCGAACCCGCAGGCTCAGGCAATCCACTCACCTCAGCCTCCCAAAGCGCGGTATTACAGGCTGAGCCACCAAGCCCGCCTCAAAGAATATTGTTTATTCACACTCACTGAATCTAAAATGAAACAGTTATTTAATCCAGTCTAAAATAAATGGGGATTGGAAATAAAAGTCATGTACTATATATGGTAGATATTCTTGCTTGGAGGTTTATACTTCTGAAAATTTACTAAAATTAAATTATAGTGATAATGGTCCATATTATGAGCTGTTAATCAGTTCAGTTTTTTCAAGTATAACTAACAAGATTATCTTTTATAAGGTTTAATTGAAACAGGGTGTTCTAGGCATTCCATCTATGAATGTTCTCTTTCTTATTTTTGAAAAATTTTTATTCATTTATTTCTCATTGTAAAAAGCACAGTATGTTTACAGTATGGAAGTATGTCACAAGAGGGACTTTTTCCTGAGACTGTGTAAGAATCACTTTTTAAAAAAATTTGAATTTATTTATTTATATATTAAAGATGGAGTCTTGCTCTGTCACCCAGGCTAGAGTACAGTGGTATGATCATAGATAGCTCAATACAGCCTCCAGCTCCTGGGCTCAAGTGATCCTTCTGCCTCAACCAGAGTAGCTGAGACTACAGGTGTATGCCACTACACCCACCTAATTTTTAAACTTTTTTTTTAAGAGACAGGGTCTTGCAGTGTTGCTCAGGCTGGTCCCAAATTCCTGGCCTCAGGCAGTCCTGCTGCCTTGTCTTTCCAAAGTACTCAGATTACAAGCATGCACTGAGCCTGGTTTAGAATCACTTTTATCTTTTGCCTTCTCAATCATTCCTTTGAATAAATGGTTCTAGTAAAAATATTACATATTTATGAACTTTTCCAAAATATGAGCTATGCCGCCACTACTCCCCCCCCCAGTAATTATTTCATGAGTACGTATGACCCATATCTTCAGCGGTGAGTCAGTGAGTTCAGTACAGTTCTTTGTGTTTAAAATAATCCTACAAGTTAAGGATGTGGGAAAAAGGGAACACTTCTGCACTGTTGGTGGGAGGGTAAACTAGTACAACCTCTGTGAAAAACAGTTTGGCAATTCCTAAAAGATCTAAAAATCGACCTTCCATATGACCCAGCAATCACCCTTCTGGGAATATACTGGAGGAACTTGATTTACTCTATGAAAAATACACCTGCATACACATGTTTATTGCAGCATTATTCACAGTAGCAAAAACAAGGAACCAATTGTGCTGCCTATCGAAAGTGAACTGGATAAAAAAACGTGGTACATATATATGATGGAATATTATGCAGCCATAAAGAAGGACAAAATTATGAACTTTGTAGCAACTAGGTTGGACTTAGAGTCTGTAATACTGAGTGATCTATCACAGATATAAAGCACTAGGTACCACACGTTCTCACTCGTAAGCGGACCCTGAACTATTATCATAATACTATAAGAAAGGGATTGACAGTAATAGGAAACTGCCAGGGGAGGGAGGAGAGGACATGCTTCATCAATAAGGGTACCTGATCTCAAACCAGGTGAAGTGGGGACCAAAGTGAGGCCTGAACTTTACCTGTACAATGACTATTTGTATACTTAACGCTGAATTGTACCCCACGTCTTTAAAATAAAAATTTTTTTTTTTTTTTTGAGTTGGAGTCTCACTCTGTCACCCAGACTGGGTTGCAGTGGCCACTCCCGGCCACTGCAGCCTCGACCTGCTGGGCTCCAGTGATCCTTCCACCTCTACCTTCCAAGTAGCTGGAACTATAGGTGCGTGCTACCACGCCCGGCTAGTTTTTGATTTATTGTAGAGATGAGGTCTCGCCAAGTTGCCCAGGCGGGTCTCGGACCCATAGGCTCAGGCAATTCACTCACCTCAGCCTCCTAAAGCGTGAGATTACAGGCTGAGCCACCGAGCCTGGCTTAAATTTTTTTTTTAAATCCTATAAGTTAAGAAGAAAATATTGACATATTTCTAAAGAAACACGTAAGGAATACCATATCTCATGAAAATTTACAGTAGAATCTTTCCAGGGTTGTGTTAGTGTTACTGCTGGGCTATGGAGGGATGAGAAGACAGTGCTGAAGAAGTAACTTTCAATTCAGGTGAATGGTGGCTCTTAAAGTAATCAGAATCTGGACTAGGTACATGTTAGGCTTCACCTGGGAAAACTTAAAAGTCATCACATAATTGTCAGTGGACATAACCTGTTGGTGCTTTCTCTCCAACACTGAATGGCTTATCTGGGTAGCTGCTGAGACGGAATCAGATGAGCCCCCACCAAGGGCTACATTATCTAATCATTGGCTGGTGAAGAGGAAAGGCATATAATTCAAAAGGAGGCACAGAGGGTTAAACTTAGGGTCTTTAGTGTCTTGATAGTAGGCATATCTAAATTTGACTACATGAGGTGATACAGAAGAGTGGATAGTACCTTGGAGTGGACATATAAGAAAAGATAAAATCATAGAAGAAACAAAGGGAATATGACTTTAAAGAAAGGGAAAAAATTAGGTGGTGAAGGGGGAGGGAGAGTAAGTTGTGATTAGAGGGTATATCAGTATTCCAAGTTTTGAAGAAATGGGGTACTTTGTTCATTTTTAAGTTTTAGAGGAATACATAGATGTATTATGTAATTGTAATAGCTATAAACACAATTAAGACAAGTTGTAATTGCTCAGAGTGCTGGCATTTTATGAGGCCTATGGTTTGGGCAATCACTTTTTTTATAAAACAATTACAATTTGTGAAATTGTGAGTTTTCAACTGAAGTCCTCTCTGTAGCTTTATGTATATTGTTTGTACTATTCAAGTGAAAGTTTTATATTTGTTGAAACATCTTGCGTGCATCATCGTCATAAAAGAAACATTGTGAGCATACAGATTTTATTTAAGAAATGGCAACAGTGAATCTAGAAAGTTTTTAGAATATATTTTCCTGTTAAAATTTCTTAGAATTAGGCCTTTATCATATACTTCATGTTTTATATATTATATTATTACGACCATGCTGTTTCTCTATACACCAAAATATAATTTTACCTTATCATTTCAGATACATACATTTTTATTTTTTTATTTTTATTTTGAGTTGTGGTCTTACTCTGTCACCCAGGCTGGTACAGTGGCACGCTTGTTCATGGCCACCACAGCCTTGACCTACTGGGCTCAGGCGATCCTCCCATCTCAACCTTCCAAGTAGCTGGAACCACAGGCACACACCACCATGCCTGGCTAATTTTTTGATTTATTGTAGAGATGAGGTCTCATCAAGTTGCCCAGACTGGTCTTGAACCGGTAGACTCAGGCAAGCCTCTCACCTCAGCCTCCCATAGTGGTAGGATTATAGGCATAAGCCACTGTATCCAGCTAACATTTTTTGTTTAAATAGTACTCTGAAACTACGTGAAATAATCATTATGTTTTTATTCCTTACAGATCACTTTTTAATTCGGGCCTCTGCAGCACTAGAAAAATTGAAACTCCTTTGTGGAGAAGAGAAAGAATGTTCAAATCCATCAAATCTTCTAGAACTTTACACACAGGTACTAAAACAGATGTAGACTCTGGCATCTTAGGAGGACAGATTACTATTTATGTGGTTGACTCCAAAGATTAGGTGTAATAAAGTCAGTGTATTTTTTATTTAAAGTGTTTAGTTTTGTTTTTTAAAAAAACTCTTTGAATAAAGTATATAGACTTGAAACTTTGGGGCAGTATGCAAAGAAGTTAGATTTTTTAGATATGTTGATAAGAAAAGTCAGGAAGAATCTTGCAGTTAATAAAATCTTTTTCCGCTTTGGAGATAATTAAGCAGAATACTAGTGCATGCATGCTTAAGCTCTTGAAGATTTCAGAGGGAATAGGAGATTCTCTAAGGGGCCTGACTACTTTTTTTTCCCTTGAAATCCACTTTTCCTTAGTATTCTTAACATGACTCCCTGTGCTAGTATCATGCATGCTTATAAGATTTTTCTCTTCTGTTCTCTCCTTTTTTTTTTTTTTTGGTTTTCCTTCAAATTCAGGCCTCTCTGGATAACACCTATTTCTTTGGTTTTGTGAAACACTGCTGAGGCAAGCTGACATCAAGACATATCATTGCATTATAGTAGCTAACATTTGTATAGTACTTTGTAGTTGATAAGAGGACTTTCATATGCCCTTTCTTGATTACTAAAGGGAAATAAAACTGAAAGTATATTTATAGTAAGTAGAGTAGACTTAGTTAAGCTTCCAGAGTGCCCATTTATAGCATTTACATGCCTGGCACTGTGCTTTCTGTTAGGAGGTGCATAAGGATGGTTTCTGCCTTCAAGCATCATGGCTGAATGAACCTAACAGCTACTCACAAACCCCAAAGAACAGTTATAATTTGGCAGGTACTTTGCTTGGCTTTATTTCCTTTCCAAAGGCTCTTTGCTTGTTTGCGTATTTTGGATGTCATCTCATTTCCTTCACATGGGAGTATTCTAAACATTGTAATTCTATTCCTAGAGTAAAGGTAAAAGACCTGGAGATACAGTTTTAAATTTTCCAGACCCTTATGAACTCTCTTTATGATTCTGAACCAATAGATTACCTTCCATAGGATGATTATCTGTTCTTCTTGGCTTAGGCTTTCCATACAAATGACATGTATTACTTAAGTAACACTAGCAATATGCTAGGTAGTGTTCTCAGGGCTTTACATATGTTAATTAACTTTATCCTCAAAGCAAGGAAGTTTGAAAGACATTTAGTCCAATTTATCATTTTACTAGTGAAAAAACTGAGGCGCGAGATGAAATTGACTTGTCCTTGCTTAGTTAGGTGATTAGTCATAGAGATGACACTAGGATCCAGTTTCCTTAATTGTCTTCGTCTTGTAGATTAAAAAATGGAAAAGAATTGGAGATTTTTAATATGCTTGAACACAGTGTCTCGTGTTTAGGACTACTGATGACTTAGTGTTTGACTTGCACAATATTGAGTGGCAGGATCCATATCCCCCAAATACTTGCTTTGCATTTGGGAAAACAAATCTTTTGAAGATTCAGTATATAACATTAGAAGTGGTGACCTTAACTTGATACAACAGACATTGAGAAAGTTTTCAAGGATTGCACATGTCTAAATAGCAAATGATATAATAATTACATTTTTCATAATTATATTGCATATAATTATCTTCTGATAATTAAAACATCTCCATTTTATTTTTTGAGGAAAGTAAGATATCATTAATTCATTACTTTAATAAAATATTTATGAAGTTTTCCATAAAGTCTGACTGAAGTTTTCCATAAAGTCTGACTGAAGCTAGACATTTTGCTTACTTCTCAAATTTAAATATTGTGTTAGAAGATTTAAATGTCTAATAGAGCATCTCTATATTCAAGTTTAAACTATACTTTGTTCTTTCAAGTTTGACACATTTATAGATACTTTTTTTCCTTTTCTTTAGGCTATTTTGGACATGACGTATTTCGAGGAGAACAAGCTAGTAGATGAAGATTTTCCTGAAGATTCTTCACAGAAAGTAAAAGAGCTGATCAGTTTTCTTTCAGAACCAGAAATCTTAGTTAAGGAAAACCATATGCATCTAAAAGTAAGTTTGTACTCTTATGAATTATGGTGGAATACTGCTAGTTTTTGCTGTCCTGTTCTTTAGAGTATATATTTTTCTTCTTGATTGTATCTTTGTTTCTGTTTTAAATTAAGATTGAGGAATCTTAGACCAGTAACACAAGCAAAGTATCATATTTTACTAAATATGTTTTAGAATATTTGCATAATGGAATTATAATTGCAATGCCTAGTTATTTTCTACACAGATATTCCCATTTCTGCTCCCTTTTGCAGATTCTGTGTTTTCTTGATGATGATTATTAATCTAATTATCACATCTGTTCTTTTTACAGTCCTCATCTTCCTGAACATTTGCTTCCTTATTTAGCATCCATCACCCTCTCCTGAGACCCTGCCTGTTCCTTTTTACTTTTTTCATCTCTGAGAAGCCTTCTTTGGCTCTTTTCCTAGCAACTCCTCTCTCTTCCATTCTAGAAACATAGGAACTCCCCAAGGGATGGCGCTTTCATCCTCTGATAGTATTCTGTCTGCTTGACAATCTGTTCACAGGCTTTTTACTGTTATTTCTATTTAATTAATTTCAAGATTAACATTTCTAGTCTGTATACGCTTTCCTTTTTTTTTTTTTTGAGTTTTAGTCTCACTCTGTCGCCTAGGCTAGAGTGCAGTGGCACGCTCGTGGCCACTGCAGCCTCAACCTGCTGGGCTCAGGTGATCCTTCCGCCTCAGCCTTCTAAGCAGCTGGGAAGTATAGGCAAATGCTACCATGCCCAGCTTATTTTTTGATTTCCTGTAGAAACGAGGTCTCACCAAGTTGCCCAGGCTGTCTTGAATTCCCAGGCTTGGGCAATCCGCCCACCTCAGCCTCCTAAGGGGCTGAGATTTCAGGTTGAGCCACCGCACCCAGTCTGTATACTTTTTCAAGCAAATAATTTCTCATCTTTGCTGATTATCCACATAGATTTTTTTTTTCTTTATGTATTTTCCAGGGAAGGCTAACTATGGAAAAAAATGATCCACAGATTTAAATGGCATACCACTATAAAAGTTTTCATTTATTAAAATTATTTTTGTGTATAGCTTCTCATTATTCTATCAATAGAGGAAATATATATAATCTTGCTTCAAGTAACATTTCTGAAGTTATGTTTTAATCAGATTATGACTACTTATATTTCAAATATATTAGGAGTATATTCTACTAAAATTAATTTTTAAATTATCTTGTAAGACTATATAAACTGAAATAGTTATTTTCATTTTGGAATAGCAATAAATTTTCATATTTTTAATGGATTCAAAGGGAGGCATTCCTCTGTAAGTAGCTAAACATAGGGCACATTTGTGGCATGAAAGTGTTTTAAATCACTTAGTTTTTTGAAATTTAACTATGTCTTTTTTGTTTTTTAGCACGGCGATTTGCTCGGGGATGAGTTGCTGGAATGTCTCTCTTGGAGACGAGGAGCTCTCCTCTATATGTATTGTCATTCTCTGACCAAAAGAAGAGAGTGGCTCTTAAGAAAATCTAGTTTGCTTAAAAAGGTACAAAGATATTCCTTGAGCATTTTGATTGTTGGCATGTGTAATTTTCAAAACTGTCTTTGTTGTGATATTAAGAGTAGTGAAATAAAAGGATCTGGGTTTGTGTTCTAGATCTTTTACTTACTAGCTATGTAATCTTACATAAATTAAGATTGTTTTGAAGATTAAATAAGAACAACATGTGAAAAAGCACTTTGTAAACTGGGAGGTTCTACATGCTTTTTTAAAGTTCTGGCTTTTAGTTTTTTTTAAGTATGAGATAAACTATATTAATTTCTAAGCAAATATATATATATATTTTTTGACCTGAGTTGTGAGTCTGTTTCTGTCATCAAATCTTTCCTAAGGAATCCACATGACTTTGCTCCTAAAAAATTGTGGCCTTCTGATTCATCTTGACTATTCTGACCAAACCATTAAATCCAAAGACATGGGTCTTAGTGTTGTATCATTAAGGATCCTACCTTGGGTTAAAAGGTGCACATAGCTTAGGTGGGCTTGGAAATGGGAAGTCACACTTTCAGATATAAAAGTATTATCATGATATTTCTAAATTGTAATAAGTACATACATATTTTAATAAATTGTTATTGATCATCTTTATTTTCTTCTTCTCTTTTTTCTCTAATAACATCTTTGACAAGTAAATTACTGGAATATGGGTTCTTGGTTAACATTTTTACTTTTGCTATACTCTTGCTAATTGTATTATTAGAAGGATATACTTACATTATGAAAGTCTTGGGGTGGTGGATCCTTATACCATTGAAATGGAATAGCCTTAAGCGATGGGAGAATAGAAAAAAGAATGGGAAAAAATTAATATTTGAAGTTTATAGAGCTCTGAAAATAATACTTTTAATTCTTTGGCTTTGACTTTCGTTTAGTACCTCGTTGATGGAATCAGTTACTTGCTGCAGATGCTAAATTATCGGTGTCCTATCCAGTTAAATGAAGGAGTTTCTTTCCAAGACCTAGACACAGCTAAATTACTGAGTGCAGGTAATGTGACCTTTTTTTTTTTAATTTTCTAAGTGATTTAAAGTTTTTTAAGATTTTAGAAAGTTCGTAAGGTTTCACTGTGATTTAAATAAATTTCAAGCTAGATTATAGATTTTTAAAAGTAATAAAAGAGCTTTAAAAAAATTCAAAGATTGAAATCTTTGCTTAATAATTTTGGAAATGAAAGGTTATATATTGTGTTACTTTTACTTAGTTTGCATCCTCAGGCATTTTTATCAAAACTATGTTTGGCTATTTGTTTTTTTTTTGAGTTGGAGTCTCACTCTGTCACCCAGACTGGAGTACAGTGACTGCTCCCAGCCACCGCAGGCTTGACCTGTTAGGCTCCGACGATCCGATCCTTCCGCTCAGCCTTCCAAGTAGCTGGAACTACAGGCGCGCGCTACCACGCTTGGCTCATTTTTTTGTAGCGATGAGGTCTTGCCAAGTTGCCCAGGCGGGTCTCGGACCCGCAGGCTCAGACAATCCACTCACTTCAGCCTCCCAAGGCGTGGGATTACAGGCTGAGCCACCGAGCCTGGCTTGTTTGGCTACATGTAACAGACTGGAAGTAACTTTTAAACAAGGTAGACATTTAGCACCCTTTCACGTACAAAATGTCTAGAGCTGCTATGGTGGCACCATGGCATCATTGTGTTCTTATTTTTTTCCTCCATTATCTTTAGAACCAGAGCCCTTCAGCTTCAAAGGGAGACACTTTATATAGATCAGTTTAAATGATACTTTCCAGAATTGTGCATCCCTGTTTTGGATGTTGCTTCCACTCTCAGTATCCCAAGATATGCTTGGCGCTCCTTCCATCTCACCTGTCTTTCAGGCTGCAGGGACAGCAAAAGATGATTTATTTAAGCCAAGTCAGCTTTCTCAGAATAAACCTGGAATCAGATGGGTGAATCAAAATGCCATCTGGCTTTTATACCTTGGTTTATACCTTTTTAATATCACTGAAGACCCTCCCTCCCCTGCATATCTGAACTGGTATCACTAATTGCCTGGGTAGCTTATTAAAAATATATATTTCTGTGTAACCTGTGCAGGATCTGATTCAATATATAAACTTCAGTCATCTATCTTAATAAACTCTCTAAATTGTTATGATGTAAGCAGATTTGGACACCACTGCTTCCAGTCTGGCCACCTTTTTTCTGTGAAAGTCATCTTTCTGCTCTCATTCTCGCTTCATGTATTATTCTCCATCTCCTTCCATTGGCTGTTTTGCTGAGCCTGTTGCTTCTCTTGCTTCTATTTATAAGATGATTTTGAGGTGAAGTGAAGGTGAAAGTTGTAGGAAAAATTTTCAAGACTTTGAAAAGCTTGCAGTAGATTCAAAACAGTAGAAATTGTAACAGTTTTGAAAGTTGGCTTTTTTCATTTCTGGTACAATCATAGTAATTTCTATTAGGTAAGCAGCTGACGTTTGATGCTTATTTATTTGAGGAAACCTTTTCTAACCACACAGGTACATTAGAATAAATTATTTTTACTTTAGTGGTCTTAAGAAGTTAAATGGTCATATAATAAGTTTATGATAGTTTCTGCAACTCTTATACATTTTTATTTCATACATTACTTAAGAAAACGCCCATGAATTAAATTGGACATGTGAAATCCTCATTTTTCAGACTCCAAGAGCTTTGGTGACTTGCCCAAAGCTGGTAATTTATACCCAGACCTTTTTTATTCTAATTCTGTTTGTCTTTCTTCCAAATTAATATACATTATGTACCATAAATGTTTCATTATGTAATTGCCTACTAGAAAAATTACCCATAAAAAGATGATGATTCTGCAATGTCCC